CTTATAATTGCCAAAGAACGTTCCTTTGAGAGTCCGTTCATTGAGCACATTCATAGGGTGTCTTGAACACTACATCTTTATGAGGCACCCCAGCACAGCTACACCCCAGCCATGTTAACAAATTTACAAATAACAAAAGTGTTCAATCAAAACTTTTATATGTTATGCAATCAAAAGCACACAAATAGGTATACAAAAAGATATAAAAGCATACATAAATACATATACAGATTGCCAGATATATAAATAAAAGCTTTAATCAAAAGGGAGCCAAATAACATAAGGAATTTTATAAAAACACACCGAAGTTCAACATTTACGCAAATTGTTTAATTCAATTTCAAATAGCCCATCATTTATTTATTTTTTATCAAATTTCAAGTGGCCCATCAAGTGACATGTCAAATTATACAACAGGTAAAATGTCAAGTAGTTCAATGTGAAGTTCTTTCCATTGAGATCCACATTAAATCATGTGATGAGTTCCCAGAAAGAGAAAAAAATACTTATAAAAGTTATATCTAACCATCCAATTATCTAAGGACAATCTCCTATCAAGCAAGATGAGGTTATTATTTTTCGTAAGGATTGATGGACTGCAAATCAAAAAGTTCCCTTTAAAGTTGGTCACTAGATTAAAGAGTTTGCGTTCTTGAATTTTGGGTTCTCAAAGTTTCTCCAGCATAAGATTTCATGTTAGAGATTGAATCTACAAACAACCATCACAGGAGCATAGAATCTTTCGACATGTTATGGAAGCCATCTAGTTATGGTTTATATTCAAGTGATGGCCATCAATTTAATGGTTCTCAAAACAACTTCGTACTTCTTACAAAAACAAAAAAACACAAGATTTGGTGGAAGCTCCGGCTTTGCCATGCCCTTGATTATGAAAAGACTTTACTTCACTAACTTCATAATGCTTTTTCTCTCTCTAGAAAATGGAACCCCTCTCTCTCCCTCATCTTCAATCTCTCTCTCCATCATCTTCGATCCTCTTTAGGTTTTTTTTGAGAAAATTACATCTATATCATTTTATTTAACCATTATTATGTGATGATATGCGATATTTATGTAGAGGTCTTTTTCCCTTATTTTTATTTTTTAAAAAAATTTACCTCCAATCCGATGTTTTAAACATTCGATTGCATATTAAATTTATTTTTTTCATTTTATGAACATATTAAACCTTCAAAAATTGAAGTCTAAACACAGTTCGATGTTAGACCCTTCAAAAAATATGGCCTAAATGCGGTACAATGCTAGAAATATCGGATCGTCCTAAACCTTCAAAAAGTGAGGTCTAAATGTGGTTCGATGTTAGAACCTGTAGCCACCCCCTCGAAATTTTGGATAAAAAAACTCCTAAAAGCCTTGATTATGAGCCCGAATGACAACAAAAACCTTAGTAAACCATAGGCAATCTAGACCCAATATAATTATTCCAAAACTGTTCAAAACTATCCAAACTTTAAGCAGACCCTGAGAACTTTCCAATTGTCCGAGAATCGCTTGAATCGAACCCAAGGATAAAAAGATCCAACAAATTATAATTTAGGCCTTAGAGGCCGAGGGCAGAGTGTCGGGCCGAGGGCAGGGCAGTGATACGGACGGCCAGTCCGAGGCGCGTTCTAATGATGCAGTAAATACATTTAATGATGCAAAAAAGGCATTTTATGATATAGTAAATGTTTTTTTTTTAATTAGATAAGGCAAAAACTCCAAGATAAATCCAAAAAAATCTAAAAAAATTAAGAAAATTCATGGATTGAATCTTATAAATACCCATTCCATAACTCAAAAAGGAGAAAAGAGATCAAGAGAAAATCCTACAATTAGAAAAATAACCCAAAACTAGAAAAAAAACAATTAAAAAATTTCTAAAAAATTGGAAAAATTCCAAAAAACAATGCTCAAATTTCGTAAAAATCCAGAATTCATATTCAACCTTTGGAGATCCTAAACCCTTAAAAAACTAAGAAAATTCTTCTCTAATCCCGAGAAAATCCTAGATAGACCCTATCTAAATTTCTTAGTTTTTCTCTTTGCCTTAGGAACATTATATCTAGATAAAAAACCTTAGATCTACCAATTCCAGCAAACAAATGCATCCAAAAAATGAGATAGTTGCACAAATCGGAAGAGTAACCTAATCCAAACCCGAAATTTCGAGTTTCGGATCCCTAGAGGTAAGTATCTATTTTTTTTTGTTTAATTTAGTTTGGTTTTCTTCTTTTAATTTTATGTTTTATTTTATTTTTCTGAAAATTAATTTATTGTTAGATTTAATTAATTTTATAAGCGCTTTTTTTATATCAAAATACGAATTTGGAGCTGACGCTGCTAGTGGACCCGAAAAAAGACCGGATTTGTATAGATCTGAGATTTTTCTGAGCTCATAATTCAAACGACCCAACTTTCTCTACATTTAAAAACATAACTGAGTTTCTTCTAAAATTTGAGCAAATCTCATCCCAGAAATCGGCACAAATTGAAACGTAAACATAACCATTGGATCGCCTTAAACCTTCAAAAAATGACGCCTAAATGTATTCCATGTTAAAAACATAGAACCAACTTAAACCTTCAAAAAATAAAGTCTAAATGCGGTCCGGTGTTACAAACATCTAAACCTTAAAAAAAAAATGAGGTCTACATGGGCAATTGATGTTACCAAACGGTACAATGATTAAAAAATCGGACTGAAGACAAATTTATTAAAAATAAAAAACTTTGAGGGGCCGTCCTTCCGAGTAATAACCATCTATTTTGAGTCGTTTTCGTTACGAGGGTTTAAAAAATCAATATGGACCCTATACTTCATTAGTAAATTGGACTTTGGAATCCTTTCACACTTGAAAGCAATGGTTTAAAAAGCGGATGAATGACCCCGATCGGGCATCTCAAAAACCGATCCTGATCGGCGAATCGGCAATTCGGATCGAGAATCGGCCATCCGGATCGAGAATCGACTGAATCGGTCAGATTAAAGCTTCAAAAAAATCCAAAAAAATTATTAAAATTCATTA